TCAGACATTGAATATCCCTTTGAGCATGGTGTAGTTAGTAATTACACTTTGGATGGTGTATCAATACACCCAGTCACTACAAAGATACAGGCTTCCTTCCTAACGCAGTTGCCGGAGAGGAAGGAAACCGCTCAGGGATTTCACAGTGAGACCAATGGTGACTTTAAAACCATGACAGAGTGTAATGGCTGTGATAGGAGAAAACTGAGGATGGATCAACAACATTGTAGTTACTACACAATACTAACCTAAATGACAGAGTGAAAAGAAGGAATCCTGTACATAATACAAATATTCCAAAACATGGATCCTGTTTGCAACAAGGCACTAATATAATACTGCAAGAAATGTGGCAAAGCAATTACATTTTTGTCCTGAATACAAAGTGATTATTCCACTGTGCCTGTATTTTGTTGGAGCTATCCAGCGCAACTGTGTACGATGGAATAAACTCTGTATTCGGTGATTTACCCTCCTGCGCCTGACTCCTTCTAATCACACTCATCACAGTAACACAACAAAGTGTGGAATTATTCCAGGGGTATGAATACATTCTGAAGGCACTGTAACTAGCTAGCCAAGCCACAGAATGAGAACTGGATTGGCAATAGACATTGTGAATGGATGGATCGAATGTGTCAAGGGAGAGCCAACATGGCATCCAGTTTCAATTAAAACCACTGCTTTCAGGTTGGCCAAATGGAAACAGCCTCTTTGGTTGTCAGTATGGCTCTGGCGATGGATGGCACTTCCTGTGGTAATGGACAGGTGGCTGATGTGTGTATGTGTGCGTGCGCACGCATGTGTGATGGTTTGTCGTAGTTTAATCCCTATAATCCCTGGGGCTGTGTGTGTGTGTGTGTGTGTGTGTGTGTGTGTGTGTGTGTGTGTGTGTGTGTGTGTGTGTGTGTGTGTGTGTGTGTGTGTGTGTGTGTGTGTGTGTGTGTGTGTGTGTGTGTGTGTGTGTGTGTGTGTGTGTGTGTGTGTGTTTGAGTGAAGGTGACAGATGTGGCGTAGGAAGACCGGCTACCGCATCTCAGATCATTCAAATATGACACAGAAAAACGTTGACCCATCCTTCATCCTCTTTACATTTTTACATTTTAGTCATTTAGCAGACACTCTTATCCAGAGCGATTTACAGTTAGTGCATTCATCTTAAGATAGCTTTGTGGGACAACCACATATCACAGGCATAGAAAGTTAAAACATTCTCAATAAAGTAGCTATCAGGTTTGAGCATAGCCTGAAGGTAGGGAGGGGCAGTTCCTCTTGCTGTTCCGTAGGTAAGCACTCTTTCTCTGTCTTCTTTCACCCACTCTCATTCTCTCTCCCTCCTTTCTATCGCTCTCATGCGTTTATCTGATGGTGGAGATTGACAGATCTGTGTCGCAGGGAGGATATAACAGCTAGCCAAAGCTAAAGTTAAAACCACTGAGCCTATGTAATTGAACTGCCAAAGACTATTTAGATAAACAAAGCTCTTTGAACTGAAACTTAGTTTGAGGTGGAGCACACTGTCGCACAATGCGTCTAATATATTGAAACTCTTATAGAATGACAATAAGCACTTGTGATTTATTACATTTATTTGAGCAGCGGCAATGTACATCAAAACATATGTCTCAGAAGTGAGAAGTGATGCGTTGTACCGGATTTAGCTAGTAGCTCATTTACATGTGCAGTCCCCGGACAGGTGAACATATAAACATGAAAACATTACAGTGAGGGAAAAAAGTATTTGATCCCCTGCTGATTTTGTATGTTTGCCCACTGACAAAGACATGATCATTCTATAATTTTAATGGTAGGTTTATTTGAACAACAAAATCCAGAAAAATGCATGTCAAAAATGTTATGAATTGATTTGCATTTTAATGAGGGAAATAAGTATTTGACCTCTGCAAAACATGACTTAGTACTTGGTGGCAAACCCTTGTTGGCAATCACAGAGATCAGACGTTTCTTGTAGTTGGCCACCAGGTTTGCACACATCTCAGGAGGGATTTTGTTCCACTCCTCTAGCAGATCTTCTCCAAGTCATTAAGGTTTCGAGGCTGACGTTTGGCAACTCGAACCTTCAGCTCCCTCCACAGATTTTCTATGGGATTAAGGTCTGGAGACTGGCTAGGCCACTCCAGGACCTTAATGTGCTTCTTCTTGAGCCACTCCTTTGTTGCCTTGGCCGTGTGTTTTGGGTCATTGTCATGCTGGAATACCCATCCACGACCCATTTTCAATGCCCTGGCTGAGGGAAGGAGGTTCTCACCCAAGATTTGATGGCCCCGTCCATCGTCCCTTTGATGCGGTGAAGTTGTCCTGTCCCCTTAGCAGAAAAACACCCCCAAAGCATAATGTTTCCACCTCCATGTTTGACAGTGGGGATGGTGTTCTTGGGGCCATAGGCAGCATTCCTCCTCCTCCAAACACGGCAAGTTGAGTTGATGCCAAAGAGCACGATTTTGGTCTCATCTGACCACAACACTTTCACCCAGTTACCTCTGAATCATTCCGATGTGCATTGGCAAACTTCAGACGGCCCTGTATATGTGCTTTCTTGAGCAGGGGGACCTTGTGGGCGCTGCAGGATTTCAGTCCTTCACAGCGTAGTGTGTTACCAATTGTTTTCTTGGTGACTATGGTCCCAGCTGCCTTGAGATCATTGACAAGATCCTCCCATGTAGTTCTGGGCTGATTCCTCACCGTTCTCATGATCATTGCAACTCCACGAGGTGAGATCTTGCCTGGAGCCCCAGGCCGAGGGAGATTGACAGTTCTTTTGTGTTTCTTCCATTTGCGAATAATCGCACTACCTGTCACCTTCTCACCAAGCTGCTTGGCGATGGTCTTGTAGCCCATTCCAGCCTTGTGTAGGTCTACAATCTTGTCCCTGACATCCTTGGAGAGCTATTTGGTCTTGGCCATGGTGGAGAGTTTGGAATCTGATTGATTGATTGCTTCTGTGGACAGTTGTCTTTTATACAGGTAACAAGATGAGATTAGGAGCACTCCCTTTAAGAGTGTGCTCCTAATCTCAGCTCGTTACCTGTATAAAAGACACCTGGGAGCCAGAAATCTTTCTGATTGAGAGGGGGTCAAATACTTATTTCCCTCATTAAAATGCAAATCAATTTATAACATTTTTGACATGCGTTTTTCTGGATTATTTTGTTGTTATTCTGTCTCTCACTGTTCAAATAAACCTACCATTAAAAGTATAGACTGATCATTTCTTTGTCAGTGGGCAAACGTACAAAATCAGCAGGGGATCAAATACTTTTTTCCCTCACTGTATATCCAAACAGACAGCATACAAACAGTACCAGTCAAACGTTTGGACACACCTATTCATTCAAGGGTTTTTCTTTATTTTTTATATTTTCTACCTTGTAGAATAATAGTGAAGACATCAAAGCTATGAAATAACAATCATGTAGTAACCCAAAAAGTGTTTAAAAAATATCTAAATATATTTTATATTTGAGATTCTTCAAAGTAGCCACCCTTTGCCTTGATGACAGCTTTGCACACTCTGTGCATTCTCTCAACCAGCTTCACCTGGAATGCTTTTCCAACAGTCTTGAAGGAGTTCCCACATATGCTGAGCACTTGATGGCTGGTTTTCCTTCACTCTGATGTCCGACTCATCCAAAACCATCTCAAGTGGTTAGAGGTCGGGTGATTGTGGAGGCCAGGTCATCTGATGCAGCACTCCATAACTCTTCTTCTTGGTAAAATAGCCCTTACACAGCCTGGATGTGTGTTGGGTCATTGACCTGTTGAAAAAGAAATGATAGTCCCACTAAGCCCAAACCAGATGGGATGGCGTATCGCTGCAGAATGCTGTGGTAGCCATGATGGTTAAGTGTGCCTTGAATTCTAAATATATCACAGACCAGCAAAGCACCCCCACACCATCACACCTCCTCCGCCATGCTTCACGGTGGGAACTACACATGCGGAGATCATCCGTTCACCTACACTGCGTCTCACAAAGACACGGCGGTTGGAACCAAAAATCTCAAATTTGGACTCCAGACCAAACAACAGATTTCCACCGGTCTAATGTCCATTGCTCGTGTTTCTTGGCCCAAGCAAGTCTCTTATTATTATTGGTGTCCTTTAGTAGTGGTTTCTTTGCAGCAATTCGACCATGAAGGCCTGATTCATGCAGTCTCCTCTGAACAGTTGATGTTGAGATGTCTGATACTTGAACTCTGTGAAGCATTTATTTGGGCTGCAATTTCTGAGGCTGGTAACTCTGGGCAGCAGAGGTAACTCTGGGTCTTTTTCTTCCTGTGTCGGTCCTCATGAGAGCAATTTTTTTGATGGATTTTGCGACTGCACTTGAAGATACTTTCAAAGTTGTTGAAATTTTCCGCATTGACGGACCTTCATGTTTTAAAGTAATGATGGACTGTCGTTTCTCTTTGCTTATTTGAGCTGTTCTTGCCATAATATGGACTTGGTATTTTACCAAATAGGGCTATCTTTTGTATACCACCCCTTCCTTGTCACAACACAAGTGATTGGCTCAAATGCATTCAGAAGAAAATAAATTCCACAAATTAACTTTTTACAAAGCACAGCTGTGAATTGAAATGCATTCCAGGTGACTACCTCATGAAGCTGGTTGAGAAAATGTCATGAATGTGCAAAGCTGTCATCAAGGCAAAGGGTGGCTACTTTGAAGAAACTCAAATATAACATATGTTTTGATTTGTTTAACACTTGTTTGGTTACTACATGATTCCATATGTGTTATTTCATAGTTTTGATATCTTCACTACTATTCTACAATGTAGAAAATAGTAAAAATTAAGAAAAACCCTGGAATGAGTAGGTGTGTCCAAACTTTTGACTGGGACTGTACATCAGACATATTAAAAAATGGAGGTCAGGACATATAGACACATTTCAAAACAGAAGTCAAGACATTACACATAACAAAGTCATGCAGTTCATTTGTACTGATTCATTTCTCTTCTCTCTCCCATAGGGATGATGAGCATGCTCTGATCCTGCAGTACTGCCAGACCCTGGGGGCGGAGGTATCTCCCTGCAGCCAGCCCCAGAGCCCTGCCCAGATCCTACAGGCCGTGGAGAGAGAGGAGCGGGGAGAGCTGGAGCGAATCATCCAGCGCCTGGAGGACGAGCAGAGGTATGGGATAGGTCAACGAAGGTCTCTTTCAAATGTCAGCACTACTAGGTTCCACCCTCTTACCAAAAGTGATGTCCAGTATCTTCCTCTCATAGTTCCTCTTCTCTTCTCGCCCTCTCTTTACCCCAGTCAAACTTTCACACACACATACACATTGACACTCTGTTTCTCTCTCTCTCCCCCTCTTTGAATAGTGAATGGAGGTAGAGTAAGGTCAGCGGTGACTGTGCACTCTAGTGTACTTGGAGCTGCTGTGTCTCTCTCTGTGTCTGAGGCAGTGGCTGTGTCTGTGATTTAGCTCTACTCACAGTCTGCTTTATGAGCCAGGCTATAAACGCCAGCTAAAGTAATACAGTCAGTCTGGAGCCTACGGCTCTATACACACACAGATAAAAACAGGGCCAGTACCTCTTTGTACAGTGGCTTTAGATAAGATTTCACTGAGACAGAGAAGGGGTAGTGGGAGATTTGAGTAGTACTATTGGGCTCATCATACAGTATTTGTGGGCACGATTGTGTGGTGACTGTGTGTATGTGTGTGTGCGCTTGTGTGTCTGCATGTGTGTGTGTGTGCACTGTCTGACTTCTGCATCTCCCTCTCGCCCGTCTCTGTGTCTCCCCAAGGACCCTGCAGAGGGAGTATGAGAAGCTGAAGGAGCAGCACGGGGGCCAGAGGGGGCCTGGTTCTGTGGGGCACTGGGACCCTGAGGGGTCCTCTCACCCCAGGGGTCCTAACGAGGCTGACCTGCTGGCTGAGGCCAAACTGCTCCGGCAGCACAAGGGTCGTCTGGAGGCCCGCATGGACATACTGGAGGAGCACAACAAACAGCTGGAGTCCCAGCTCCACCGGCTCAGACAGCTCCTGCACCAGGTGGGGAACACTTAGAGGGACACATACAGTATAGACACACACACACACACACACACACACACGCACACACACCACCTCAGACAGCTTGCCAGTGCAATATGTGTGTTGATAACACACACATGGAGACAAACATGCTTGTTCCAGCTGTGGTATTACTTGCACTGATCATGCAACAACAATAAAACATCCTTCTTAGCCTAGAAAGTGTCCTTGTTTGTTTCATAACTCATTCCTCTAAAGTTAGAATCTGATCATATTCCAACCAGCCTCCTAATCCCTCCCTATGCAGTAACCCAATCCATCTATCCTATGTTAATGCCTCTCCTGATGCTCAATAAGTTAGGATGATTCTTTAGATGTGTGGAAAATAAAAGCTCTCCAACCAAACAGAGTCAATCAGAGCAGGTAAACGTCAGGCAGGTATTGACTCAGGGCCCTGGAGCTGAAAGCAGCGAGGCATAGTATTAAGTAACCTCAGCCTGGGAAAGATAAGGTGACTCGGCTGATTCTTAGGGGATTAAGGGGTCATTTAAACCTTGCAAGACACACACACAAATACACACACACACCCACATACACACCACTTCCTCCAGCCTAGCCCACCCAAATTCTAAGACCGGCATTGTACACAAACATGAACATCCACGCATAGACACATCCATGCATTCACAGAGTCCTCAGATATCCAGATCCTGACTTTTTTTACTAAATTGTTTTAACGAGATTATAAATCATTCAAAAGAGAAACTAAGTCGTTCAAATGAGAAATCCAAGAGTCTAATTTAAATGTACCTTCCGTAGTGCTCTGAAATTCACAGAATAAATATTTATTCAGCTTTTCAGCCCATCATTGTCAGTTTATGGCTAACCAAATGACAGGTTCTCTCAAGTGAGGCGTAAGAAGGATGTTCCTAATTCACAGGAGACGTTTGAAAATGTATATTATGAATACAATTCTACTCATTTTACCATAGGGTGGAGAGAAATATTTGCAGTTTTAAATATGATATCTGAGTGAGAGTAACAAAAATCAGTGGGGGCCCCCGGTCGGTAATTTGACCATGATTACTACAAGTTTAGATAGCTAGCTAGACTAATTTGCCAATCTTAAAAATGTTAGCTGACATGGGTTAATTGCGTGACAGTCAGTGACTGACATAACAAGAGATACACTGCTGATGCCCAACCACATTTTGAAATTGCAAATTGAGTATTATACTATTCTAAACTCTCAACAGTTGAGACACCGACTGAGTTTCACATTTTTGTTTATTATAGTTTTTTTGGGGAAATTGACCATGCGGGTCGCCAGTTGCCCATCCCTGGTCTACACTATGTTTTGTTGGCTTTTACCAATGTATCTTTAGTACTCAAATGTTACTGATACATTGATCTGACTGCTATACTGTATATAATACACAACACTATCTCATGTGGCATACTGTAATGAATCACTTATAGTAGATAGTAACAAAATAGATGGTACTGGTTCAAACAGCATTTATTAGAGTGATTTGACAAAATTGGTTAGGCAATGTCTGGCTGTGAAGCTGAATCATAGGAGTATAATTACAACAGACCCATTATATCCTCTGCCTCCTTGATTCCCATGTAGACTCCTGTCAGTGAGGGATATTTGCGACAATTACACAAACTACACATGAAGGCAAGACTCTTCTTTTCCCTCGTCCCAGTCTCTCTCCCTTCAGTGCCCACTCCAACACCAGTCGATATGCAACCAGCCTGTATTGACTGAGAACAAATATGTTATTTGTGAATAGCTAGATACAAATAATCTAATAACAAGAAACAATTTGATTTGATCAGAGTGCAATTATAAAACAACAAAAGTAATCAATAGATTATGTCCTTTATATTTTGTTTCTGTATGCTGGGACAAGCAAGAATAATGTCACTTACTTGATAGACAGCTGTCCATTCGGTCCAGCAGGTATGAGCTGCTTCTTCCATTTAATTTTTGGGACATGGAGCAGTCTCTATAACTCCAGGATTGATGAGCGCAAAAAAGTCTAAGGGGTTTGTTACACAATCTCTGGTTGTACTGCTTTCTTTGCTGTAGCCCCGCAATTGATGGCAGTAACAAGTCCCACTCTGCGCAGCACAAACACTCATCGTTGGTTACCATGGGTTGACATGCCCCGCAGTTGCACCACCACTCCCCCTCAGACCTGGCTCTCACCACCGCTCCTGGTGGCTCGGTTACAGGCGCCGCTGATTCATCCTCCCTCCGTGTTGCTCAGCGTCCAACTGCACAAGTTCCTCAGTAAATTCTGGCTTGAGTAAATAAAACATTATTCTACCCTCAAAGTCCGACAGGATTTATCAAATGTTATGATGATTTGCCAATACGAAAGCAAGCTATCTACTTTAGCTACTACAGTACGCAACAGCTGGCTTCCTCCCGGGAGTTTTGTTTACAAAACCACAGCAAGCCTTGGCGGGAAGACAATGCAGCAGAATCCAAAGTAGTCTGTAAATGAGGAAGTTTTAAAATAGGATAATAGGATAATATAGAGCTGGCTGGCTTCTCCGTGCATCGGCAGGACAGAGCAGCGACGTATGTGTCTATTTGTCAATAACTGCTGGTGCGCAATGTCTAATATTGAAGAAGTCTCGAGGTATTGCTAGCCTGAGGTAGAATGTTTTATTTATTTTATTTAACCTTTACTTAACTAGGCAAGTCAGTTAAGAACAAATTCGTATTTACAATGACGGCCTACCCCGGACGACGCTGGGCCAATTGTGCGCCGCCCTATGGGATTCCCAATTACAGCCGGATTGTGATACAGCCTGGAATCTAACCGGAGTCTGTAGTGACACCTCTAGCACTGAGATGCAGTGCCTTAGACTGCTGCACCACTCGGGAGCAGTAAATACCTCATGATAAATTGTAGAGCACATTATCTACCAAGAGAGTTCTCATCTATATTATTCATAGCCGTCTATTCACATTTACATTTACATTTTAGCTATTTACCACCACAAACCGATGCTGGCAGTAAGACCGCACTCAACGAGCTGTATAAGGCCATAAGTAAACAAGAAAATGCTCATCCGGAAGTGGCGCTCCTAGTGGCCGGGGACTTTAATGCAGGCAAACTTAAATCTGTTTGACCTAATTTCTATCAGCATGTCACATGTGCAACAGAGGAAAAAAAACTCTAGACCACCTTTACTCCACACACAGAGATGCATACAAAGCTCTCCCTCGCCCTCCATTTGGCAAATCTGACCATACTTCTATCCTCCTGATTCCTGCTTACAATCAAAAACTAAAGCAGGAAGTACCAGTGACTCGCTCAATACAGAAGTGGTCAGATGACGTGGATGCTACGCTACAGGACTGTTTTGCTAGCACAGACTGTAATATGTTTTGGGATTCATCCAATGGCACTGAGGAGTATACCACTTCAGTCACCAGCTTCATCAATAAGTGCATCGACGACGTCTTCCCCACAGTGACCGTACGTACATTTTCCAACCAGAAGCCATGGATTACAGGCAACATCAACACCAAGCTAAAGGCTAGAGCTGCCGCTTTCAAGGAGCGGGACACTAATCCGGACGCTTATAAGATATCCCACTATGCCCTCAGATGAACTATCAAACAGGCAAAGCGTCAATACAGGACTAAGATTGAATCCTACTACACCGGCTCTGACGCTCGTCGGATGTGGCAGGGCTTGCAAAATATTACGGACTACAAAGGGAAACCCAGCCGCGTGCCCAGTGACTCGAGCCTACCAGACGAGCTAAATGCCTTTTATGCTCGCTTCGAGGCAAGCAACACTGAAGCATGCATGAGAGCACCAGCTGTTCCGGACAACTGTGTGATCACGTTCTCCGTAGCCGATGTGAGCAAGACCTTTAAACAGGTCAACGTTCACAAAGCTGCGGGGCCAGACGGATTACCAGGACATGTACTCAAAGCATGCGCGGACCAACTGGCAAGTGTCTTCACTGACATTTTCAACCTCTTCCTGACCGAGTCTGTAATTCCTACATGTTTCAAACAGACCACCATAGTTCCTGTGCCCAAGAAAAGTGAAGGTAACCTGCCTAAATGATTACTGCCCTGTAGCACTCGGTAGCCATGAAGTGCTTTGAAAGGCTGGTCATGGCTCACATCAACACCATCATGCCGGAAACCCTAGACCCACTCCAATTCACATACCGCCCCAAAGACGTTGTGTGAATGCGCTGGAGATGTATCCATCACGTTAACGTTTACTACAGCTGGGGACTGAAGAGGAGTTAGGAGGCGAGCCAGAGATTGTACAGACAGGGAGGGAGTAGAGGAGCGAAGGATGGGATAGGCAGGCAGGCTAAATTGATTGTCTCTGGAAAGCTAAGGGGCATATTGGACTCTAGTAGATGTCAGTGGACATCAGGTGCCCTCTTCTGTGTGTGTGCGTGCGTGCGTGCGTGCGTGTTCATACATTCATGCTTTTACTACATTGATGAACTGTCAAGTTTGCTTGAGAGGATCCTTAAAAACGTGTTGAGTATGCTGTCTTACAGTATTAACTTTGTTTATTCCTTTGATTGGTATTCTGTCTCTTTCTCTTTTTCATGGTAACTGAAATGCCTTAGCCAAGTAGAAAAACAACAACATGGATTCTCTGAAGTTTCTAAGCCAGATCCCAATCAAATAATTGTACTTTTTCATGAATGAAAGTCATCAAATTAAACAAATAAGAACCTAAACCCTTAGATATTTAGCTGAACTCAAGACAGGGAGTGACAGTGTTTGACACAAATTGGGACAGGGCTATAGACACATGTAAATATTACTACACGTGATGACATCTTTTATCCCAGCCCCATCGTGTCACACTGTGTGGTATTCCCTTGTTTGTGACTGATGATTTCTATGTAGAGCAATATTTTGTTTGATGTCTTCACCAGTGAAGTATGCCACTATGAATAATGAATAGTGAGGACTCCATGTTTTAGTATTGACGCTTGTCCTTGTCTCTCTCCTTCCTTATTTTTTAAATTTTCTTTCTGTCTTTGTTGTTGTTTCTCTCTCGATTCTTCTGTTCTCGTCTTACTTGATCCTCATTCCCTCCTCTTGTTTTTTTCCCCTCCTCCCTTGTCCTCTTTTCTACTCCATCTATCTTTCATCGTTCCTCCTCTCTCTTCCTCTCTCTCACCAGGAGATGGACTCCAGGGTGAATGGAGTGTCATCCCCCAGCATGCAAGAACGAGGGGCCCTCACCGAACACACAGGTCGGTTCGACACACACAAACACACGCACACGCACACACACGCACACGCACACGCAGTGTGTTAAACTGTTGTTTGTGTGTGTGTGTGTGTGTTTCAGATGAGCTGTTGGACCACCCACACAACATAAGCTCTGATCTGGCAGACGTCATGGAACAGATCAACTGCATGCAGTCGTAAATCCTCTAACTCTACCTCTCTCTCATCTTTTCTCTGTTTACCTCCCTCTCCTCTTGCCTTTTCCTAGGGAAGAGGAGTTTAGTTAAAAGTAATCTAAAGGGTGCTGCGGGGGTATCAATACTGGTTTACTCCTCACCTAGCAGGCATAATGGCTCAACAATGATCGCAACAACACTTAAAGATAATACTTAGTTTATGCGTGTGTGTGTGTAGGAGCGGCCCAGGGGCATCTGAACTTAGCTTCAACCAATCAGTGTAGGTGCATGGAGATAGTCAATATTGTGTTTTTTCTCACAAAGTTGTTTCTGTTTTTCTTGTAGCTTCAAGCCTCTCCTCGAGACCACAGGTAATCTATATTTCTCACCCCCCTGCATAATGCCCGTTTCACTCAGGATTTGATAGGAGGAAATTAGCTGGAGCTCATTTCGTAAAGGGTGAATGCGCAAATTAGACAAATAGGTATACTGTCGCTAGCTACATGGCAGGCAGTCCAACTGTTCAATGAACTGAATGTACAAGAGATTCAGCCACTCTCTGGAGGAAAATGGCAGTTTTGTGCTCATCAAGGGGAGTAGATGAGGACAAAGGGGAGGGAGTAACAAAACACACAGAAAATGAAATAGATCACTGAAATGTACTCAACATACAGTGGGGAAAAAAAGTATTTAGTCAGCCACCAATTGTGCAAGTTCTCCCACTTAAAAAGATGAGAGAGGCCTGTAATTTTCATCATAGGTACACGTCAACTATGACAGACAAATTAAGAAAAGAAAATCCAGAAAATCACATTGTAGGATTTTTAATGAATTTATTTGCAAATTATGGTGGAAAATAAGTATTTGGTCACCTACAAACAAGCAAGATTTCTGGCTCTCACAGACCTGTAACTTCTTCTTTAAGAGGCTCCTCTGTCCTCCACTCGTTACCTGTATTAATGGCACCTGTTTGAACTTGTTATCAGTATAAAATACACCTGTCCACAACCTCAAACAGTCACACTCCAAATTCCACCATGGCCAAGACCAAAGAGCTGTCAAAGGACACCAGAAACAAAATTGTAGACCTGCACCAGGCTGGGAAGACTGAATCTGCAATAGGTAAGCAGCTTGGTTTGAAGAAATCAACTGTGGGAGCAATTATTAGGAAATGGAAGACATACAAGACCACTGATAATCTCCCTCGATCTGGGGCTCCACGCAAGATCTCACCCCGTGGGGTCAAAATGATCACAAGAACGGTGAGCAAAAATCCCAGAACCACACGGTGGGACCTAGTGAATGACCTGCAGAGAGCTGGGACCAAAGTAACAAAGCCTACCATCAGTAACACACTACGCCACCAGGGACTCAAATCCTGCAGTGCTAGACGTGTCCCCCTGCTTAAGCCAGTACATGTCCAGGCCCTTCTGAAGTTTGCTAGAGTGCACCCAGAAGAGGATTGGGAGAATGTCATATGGTCAGATGAAACCAAAATATAACTTTTTGGTAAAAACTCAACTCGTCGTGTTTGGAGGACAAAGAATGCTGAGTTGCATCCAAAGAACACCATACCTACTGTGAAGCATGGGAGTGAAAACATCATACTTTGGGGCTGTTTTTCTGCAAAGGGACCAGGACGACTGATCCGTGTAAAGGAAAGAATGAATGGGGCCATGTATCGTGAGATTTTGAGTGAAAACCTCCTTCCATCAGCAAGGGCATTGAAGATGAAACGTGGCTGGGTCTTTCAGCATGACAATGATCCCAAACACACCGCCCGGGCAACGAAGGAGTGGCTTCGTAAGAAGCATTTCAAGGTCCTGGAGTCTCCAGATCTCAACCCCATAGAAAATCTTTGGAGGGAGTTGAAAGTCCGTGTTGCCCAGCGACAGCCCCAAAACATCACTGCTCTAGAGGAGATCTGCATGGAGGAATGGGCCAAAATACCAGCAACAGTGTGTGAAAACCTTGTGAAGACTTACAGAAAACGTTTGACCTGTGTCATTGCCAACAAAGGGTATATAACAAAGTATTGAGAAACTTTTGTTATTGACCAAATACTTATTTTCCACCATAATTTGCAAATAAATTCATAAAAAATCCTACAATGTGATTTCCTGGATTTTTTTTTCCTCATTTTGTCTGTCATAGTTGACGTGTACCTATGATGAAAATTACAGGCCTCTCTCATCTTTTTAAGTGGGAGAACTTGCACAATTGGTGGCTGACTAAATACAATGGAGTGTCATCCACTGTTCGTCGAACCCGACACGCACAACAGCACCGCACACGCAGTGTGTTAAACTTGTTTGTGTGTGTGTGTGTGTTCAGATGAGCTGTTGGACCACCCACACAACATAAGCTCTGATCTGGCAGACGTCATGGAACAGATCAACTGCATGCAGTCGTAAATCCTCTAACTCTACCTCTCTCTCATCTTTTCTCTGTTTACCTCCCTCTCCTCTTGCCTTTTCCTAGGGAAGAGGAGTTTAGTTAAAAGTAATCTAAAGGGTGCTGCGGGGGTATCAATACTGGTTTACTCCTCACCTAGCAGGCATAATGGCTCAACAATGATCGCAACAACACTTAAAGATAATACTTAGTTTATGCGTGTGTGTGTGTAGGAGCGGCCCAGGGGCATCTGAACTTAGCTTCAACCAATCAGTGTAGGTGCATGGAGATAGTCAATATTGTGTTTTTTCTCACAAAGTTGTTTCTGTTTTTCTTGTAGCTTCAAGCCTCTCCTCGAGACCACAGGTAATCTATATTTCTCACCCCCCTGCATAATGCCCGTTTCACTCAGGATTTGATAGGAGGAAATTAGCTGGAGCTCATTTCGTAAAGGGTGAATGCGCAAATTAGACAAATAGGTATACTGTCGCTAGCTACATGGCAGGCAGTCCAACTGTTCAATGAACTGAATGTACAAGAGATTCAGCCACTCTCTGGAGGAAAATGGCAGTTTTGTGCTCATCAAGGGGAGTAGATGAGGACAAAGGGGAGGGAGTAACAAAACACACAGAAAATGAAATAGATCACTGAAATGTACTCAACATATCTTGTATATGGAGGCAGAGATGGATTCTAAGGCTCTGTAGACCAGCAGCACAAGTTACCAGCTGTTACTGTAATTACTGTATAGTCTGCTCTCTCGCTCTCTCTCCCACCCTCTCTCTCTCGCCTCTTAACATCTCAGCCCATCTCAATTCTCCCCATTGCCTTTACAGTCAGTTAAACCATTTATTTGTTACGTAGTAGTATTTGGCTGCTCCTTCACAAGGGCCTATTTATTTTCCTTCTCCAGTATTTTCTTCTTCTTCCCTTGATGTCCATTATGTTAGCCAGTGCTATCTGTTTTTTTCACATATTTAATTAAACCTGGGTCAGTTTTGGTATTTATGTCCTCTTAATATGAACCCGTAGTCAACACAGGGAGAAATGTGCTTAGGACCACATTTACCACTTATCTCTCCTTTCTTCCCTTCTTTCTTATCTATACTGAACACATTATAGTTACAGTTCATATAAGGAAATCAGTCAATATAAATAAATTCATTAAGCCCTAATCGATGGATTTCACATGACTTGGAATACAGATATGCAGATGTTGTGTGGTCCTCTGTAGCTCAGCTGGTAGAGCACAGCGCTTGGAACGCCAAGGTAGTGGGTTCGAACCCCGGGACCACCCATACACAAAAAAAATTATGCAAGCATGACTGTAAGTCGCTTTGGATAAAAGCGTCTGCTAAATGGCATATTATTATTATTATTATGTTGGTCACAGATATCTTAAAAAGAAGGTAGGGGCGTGGATCAGAAAACCAGTCAGTATCTGGTGTGACCACCATTTGCCTCATGCAGCGCGACATCTCCTTCGCATAGAGTTGATCAGGCTGTTGATTGTGGCCTGTGGAATGTTGTCCCACTCCTCTTCAATGGCTGTGTGAAGTTGCTGGATATTGGCGGGAACTGGAACACGCTGTCGTACACGTCGATCTAGAGCATCCCAAACATACTCAATGGGTGACATGTCTGGTGAGTATGCAGGCCATGGATGAACTAGGACATTTTCAGCTTCCAGGAATTGTCTACAGATTCTTACGACATGGGGCTGTGCATTGTCATGCTGAAACATGAGGTGATCACGGTGGATGAATGGCACAACAATGGGCCTCAGGATCTCGTTACGGTATCTCTGTGCATTCAAATTGCCATCGATAAAATGCAATTGTGTACGTTGTCCGTAGCTTATGCCTTCCCTTACCATAACCCCACTGCCACCATGGGGCACTGTGTTCACAACGTTGACATCAGGAAACCACTCGCTCACATGACACCATAAACGTGGTCTGCAGTTGTAAGGCCGGTTGGACGTACTGCCAAATTCTCTAAAACGACGTTGGAGGCGGCTTATGGTAGAGAAATGAACGTTCAATTCTCTGGCAACAGCTCTGGTGGACATTCCTGTAGTCAGCATGCCAATTGCACGCTCTCTCAAAATCTGAGACATCTGTGGCATTGTGTTGTGTGACAAAACTGCACATTATAAAGTGGCCTTTTATTGTCCCCAGCACAAGGTGCACCTGTGTAATGATAATTCTGTTTAATCAGCTTCTTGCCACACCTGTCAGGTGGATGGATTATCTTGGCAAAGGAGAAATGCTCACTAACAGGGATGTAAACAAATTTGGGCAAATAATTTGAGAGAAATAAGCTTTTTGTGCATATGGAACATTTCTGAGATCTTTTATTTCAGCTCATGGGACCAACACTTTAGATGTTGTGTTTATATTTTTGTTCAGTGTAACTCCATTAAAAGTGGTTGCTGCAGGTTTCTCTAAGCCCGGAGTGTGGTTGAATAGGTTCAGATGTCCATTCAGATGCCAGTCTCTTGTTCCGAGGAGACCCCGGTGTTACATTTAAAAGCCTATCCCAGAATCCTTAGTGACCATCTGCGTCCCTTATCTCTCCTGTCTCCTCTCTTTAAATGGGTTGTGAAAGGCATGAGAGACTGCCAGT